AAATAAATAGGAGAGATTTGAAATCTAGAATTAAATAATAATATACATATCAAAAGTTGCAACCCTTAAATAAATCCTTAATTAAATAAATTGTTTATTTTTAATACTCTAACAAAGTTCCAGACAACAATAGAATAAGATCTTATTATTGTTGAGGTACAAGTATCTAATAATTTATGGTAGGAGTGGAAAATCTCTGTTCGATTTTACAAGTTTTTCAATTTTATTGTGGAATGCATGTCGGGTCGGGACTGAGAAGAAATGGATTTAATCGGAAGAGGGAAGAAGGAAGAGGAAATTACTATAGGAGAGTTATCTTGGATATCTAACAAAAGTGTTTGCTGATTAAAATTTGTTTTGCGTAACGCTGTGGTAGAGGTGGATATTGTTATTACATATTGTTCACATTAATCTATTCAAAAAGACCATCTGATTCCCATATTTCAAGTAAAATTTGAATCATATCATTTAGAGGAATAGGTTTTTGAAAAGCAGGTTTTTTAGGATTGACTAAATGTTCAACAATTGAATCAACATCCGAAGGTTGACTTGATGGATCTCTAATAATTGTTTGTTTATCTGATGCAAATGCTCCGGTTACCCAAGCATTTCTGATGGCTTTCCATCTTTCATAACCAACACCTAATTCAGGTGCCACAGAATCATACCTTGTCATTGGATCATTTGGATCATTACCACTGCTTTTATAATCAGCATGTTGTTGACCATTAATATTTGTGGACATGATAAAAGATGAAATATGAGGTGGAGGTGATGATTGATAATGTTGTTGTTGTAACAATTGATTCGGAGATAAATATTCAATCTTTTGTCCACTCGTGGATGAATGTAAAGATGAGGATTGGCAAGTTGAGTTGCTGTTAATTAACTCTGAGGAATTTTGTTGAATATTTTTTGAATTGTTTTTCTTGTTTTGTTGTCTTGTTGTTGTTTGAAGGTTCGCAGCAGTATTCGAGTTGTTTGGATGATGATGATGAGTATGACCAGTAGTAGTAGCAGCACCCATCATTATACCACCGACAAGACCACCACTCACTGTTTGTAGTGATGGTACGGATGTGGTTGGATTGATTATTCCACCTATTGTTGTAGCTTCTCCACCACTGCCACTACTTGTACTCTGTCGACGGAAGAGATTAGTATTATTACTTTGTGTTGTTGTGTGTGATTCATCTTCGTTAAATCTTGGTATTGGAGTGGCATCTTCTTCCTCATCTCTTCTCTTTCTTCTTCCATCTTCATCTGAACTTGAATATTGAACAGATTGTAAATTATTGTTATTTGAAGATAATTCATCATCACCACTTTCATGATGATTATTAGTATCTTCTTGAATATTGGAAGTGTTAACAAATAAACGATGAGTCTTTCTAGTTGAAGAATTATTATTATTACTATAATTATTTGTTGTTATTGTATTATTATGCTCATCATCCATAGTAAGATTAGATTCATCAGAAGAACTATATATATTGTATTTTCTTCTTCTCAGAGAATGATTAATTGTAGGAAGGTTATGATGAAATTCCTCACCTATTGAAGCATCTCTTAAAATACCACCTTCTCCTATAAAGTAATCACCAATTGTGTTATCTT